GCCCCCATTGGGCCCCAAATTTCAATTGGGTCCCGTGGGCCCCAGGTGGGCCCCATCGAAAAATGTTACTTGGGTTTTTTGTTTGGGAAATTACGCTCTTTCCAATGATGTGCATATTGCCGGGGTCGGTCGCGAAATTAGGGGCAATACTTAGAAAGGGCCTCTTTGGGGCCCTCTTTGGGCCCCTTCCTTTGGATTCCCCGGTAGGTTTCTTCAGCCAGATTGAAGAGGGGGCCCAGGAGAGTGTCTGTGCAAATTTTGAAGAAAATCGTAGGGGCCGCCCCATTGGGCCCCAAATTTCAATTGGGTCCCGTGGGCCCCAGGTGGGCCCCATCGAAAAATGTTACTTGGGTTTTTGTTTGGGAAATTACGCTCTTTCCAATGATGTGCATATTGCCGGGGTCGATCGCGAAATTAGGGTCAATACTTAGAAAGGGCCTCTTTGGGGCCCTCTTTGGGCCCCTTCCTTTGGATTCCCCGGTAGGTTTCTTCAGCCAGATTGAAGAGGGGGCCCAGGAGAGTGTCTGTGCAAATTTTGAAGAAAATCGTAGGGGCCGCCCCATTGGGCCCCAAAGTTCAATTGGGTCCCGTGGGCCCCAGGTGGGCCCCATCGAAAAATGTTACTTGGGTTTTTTGTTTGGGAAATTACGCTCTTTCCAATGATGTGCATATTGCCGGGGTTGGTCGCGAAATTAGGGGCAATACTTAGAAAGGGCCTCTTTGGGGCCCTCTTTGGGCCCCTTCCTTTGGATTCCCCGGTAGGTTTCTTCAGCCAGATTGAAGAGGGGGCCCAGGAGAGTGTCTGTGCAAATTTTGAAGAAAATCGTAGGGGCCGCCCCATTGGGCCCCAAATTTCAATTGGGTCCCGTGGGCCCCAGGTGGGCCCCATCGAAAAATGTTACTTGGGTTTTTTGTTTGGGAAATTACGCTCTTTCCAATGATGTGCATATTGCCGGGGTTGGTCGCGAAATTAGGGGCAATACTTAGAAAGGGCCTCTTTGGGGCCCTCTTTGGGCCCCTTCCTTTAGATTCCCCGGTAGGTTTCTTCAGCCAGATTGAAGAGGGGGCCCAGGAGAGTGTCTGTGCAAATTTTGAAGAAAATCGTAGGGGCCGCCCCATTGGGCCCCAAATTTCAATTGGGTCCCGTGGGCCCCAGGTGGGCCCCATCGAAAAATGTTACTTGGGTTTTTTGTTTGGGAAATTACGCTCTTTCCAATGATGTGCATATTGCCGGGGTTGGTCGCGAAAATAGGGGCAATACTTAGAAAGGGCCTCTTTGGGGCCCTCTTTGGGCCCCTTCCTTTGGATTCCCCGGTAGGTTTCTTCAGCCAGATTGAAGAGGGGGCCCAGGAGAGTGTCTGTGCAAATTTTGAAGAAAATCGTAGGGGCCGCCCCATTGGGCCCCAAATTTCAATTGGATCCCGTGGGCCCCAGGTGGGCCCCATCGAAAAATGTTACTTGGGTTTTTTGTTTGGGAAATTACGCTCTTTCCAATGATGTGCATATTGCCGGGGTCGGTCGCGAAATTAGGGGCAATACTTAGAAAGGGCCTCTTTGGGGCCCTCTTTGGGCCCCTTTCTTTGGATTCCCCGGTAGGTTTCTTCAGCCAGATTGAAGAGGGGGCCCAGAAGAGTGTCTGTGCAAATTTTGAAGAAAATCGTAGGGGCCGCCCCATTGGGCCCCAAATTTCAATTGGGTCCCGTGGGCCCCAGGTGGGCCCCATCGAAAAATGTTACTTGGGTTTTTTGTTTGGGAAATTACGCTCTTTCCAATGATGTGCACATGCCGGGCTTGGTCGCGAAATTAGGGGCAATACTTAGAAAGGGCCTCTTTGGGGCCCTCTTTGGGCCCCTTCCTTTGGATTCCCCGGTAGGTTTCTTCAGCCAGATTGAAGAGGGGGCCCAGGAGAGTGTCTGTGCAAATTTTGAAGAAAATCGTAGGGGCCACCCCATTGGGCCCCAAATTTCAATTGGGTCCCGTGGGCCCCAGGTGGGCCCCATCGAAAAATGTTACTTGGGTTTTTTGTTTGGGAAATAACGCTCTTTCCAATAATGTGCATATTGCCGGGGTTGGTCGCGAAATTAGGGGCAATACTTAGAAAGGGCCTCTTTGGGCCCCTTCCTTTGGATTCCCCGGTAGGTTTCTTCAGCCAGATTGAAGAGGGGGCCCAGGAGAGTGTCTGTGCAAATTTTGAAGAAAATCGTAGGGGCCGCCCCATTGGGCCCCAAATTTCAATTGGGTCCCGTGGGCCCCAGGTGGGCCCCATCGAAAAATGTTACTTGGGTTTTTTGTTTGGGAAATTACGCTCTTTCCAATGATGTGCATATTGCCGGGGTCGGTCGCGAAATTAGGGGCAATACTTAGAAAGGGCCTCTTTGGGGCCCTCTTTGGGCCCCTTCCTTTGGATTCCCCGGTAGGTTTCTTCAGCCAGATTGAAGAGGGGGGCCAGGAGAGTGTCTGTGCAAATTTTGAAGAAAATCGTAGGGGCCGCCCCATTGGGCCCCAAATTTCAATTGGGTCCCGTGGGCCCCAGGTGGGCCCCATCAAAAAATGTTACTTGGGTTTTTTGTTTGGGAAATTACGCTCTTTCCAATGATGTGCATATTGCCGGGGTTGGTCGCGAAATTAGGGGCAATACTTAGAAAGGGCCTCTTTGGGGCCCTCTTTGGGCCCCTTCCTTTGGATTCCCCGGTAGGTTTCTTCAGCCAGATTGAAGAGGGGGCCCAGGAGAGTGTCTGTGCAAATTTTGAAGAAAATCGTAGGGGCCGCCCCATTGGGCCCCAAATTTCAATTGGGTCCCGTGGGCCCCATCGAAAAATGTTACTTGGGTTTTTTGTTTGGGAAATTACGCTCTTTCCAATGATGTGCATATTGCTGGATTTTGTCGATGTTATAGGCCTGAAATTGTTGAAAACGTTTATTTATGCCCCGAGGGCATACTCCCGGGCCCATATATTTGAAGCTGTTTTGTTCGGTTCAGGGGGGCGCTAGCCCCCTAAATTTGGTACCGTTGCACGTAAAATTTTGTCCTCTTTCGAATGGCGTGCATTTTTAGCTGTTTTGACGGCTAGAAGTAGGGTTTCCAAAGTTCGTCGATTGTGCCCTGAGGGCATACTGTTTTTTGGGATTTGTGGCCCCCCTGATGGATTCCCCGCATTTTGGCACTAGGATTTTCGATAGAGGACACCATTCTGCACCTCTCCACCAAAATTCAGCGAAATCGTAGGGGCCGTCGATCCCTGCTGAATCCCTGCTGAACCCCTGCTGAATCCCTGCTAACTTCCGTTACATCTTTTCGCGCTCGGTTTTCAAGGTTTCGTAGTGTGGGCATCCACATACAAAGTAAGTCAAAAGATAGCTACAACATTTTTATTTCCATTTTTGGGATGAAAAGTTCAAGCCCATCCAACCGTTTTCGAGATATTCGTCCATATATGACCCCATGTTTTTGATACATCGGAAGGTCCTGTGTTCGAATCTCGGACAGACCAAAACTTTTATCGTTAATGTGCGGCAAACCATTGCTGCAAAGTAAAGTAGGGGTGAGCGCGCTGGTGATGGAGGGTTGTAAGTTGGCATACCTGACCTTTGATTCAAGCCGGATTTTGTGACACCAACCTCATTTTCAGGTCAGGTCAGGTCACTGACCTATGACGTCATAAGTGAACCTCTGCACGGTCTCAAAAACGTCGTAACATAGCAACTCCATCAATTCAAGGAGATCTATCACAGGCAGATGAAACTTACAGAACTCAAACTCCCTTATTCTCAAAAGTCGTTAACTTCGGATTTCTCCTAAGGGTCACCTAACATCAGGTCGGTCAGGTGATCTGGCCATTATAAGCCGATGGGGGGGGGGATATAGAGACATTTATTTTGGCGCTGACAGTGATCTTAGACGGAAAAGACACAAATAGACTCAGAAAGACCTGCCAAATTGAATAACGTGCAACTTGACCTCATCATGAGGTAATGACCTGACCTGACCTTGGACGGAGGTCAACATCCTAAATTGACCTCACCCATACAAAAAGCATATCATTCGACGTGGCTGAGCATGACGAACACGATGGTGTCAAAATTGCTGCTCTGATACCATTTTAGGCGACCACCGAACAATGCACTTCCTGATATGCCAATGCTTTTATTATCTAAAGACGATGAACACTGAACATTCTCATATATGCAAACATGCCACCAGAGTAAGTGCCGTGGTTCCCAATCGTACATACTACACGTTCCACACATCGCACTACCGCTCGTAATTGCAATGCAAACAAGCTTTGGCTCGTTGGAAATAAACTTTGGCATTGGAAGATGTCACGGTGTTACACTAAACATTGACCACAATTAGATATCAGGTATCAATATCAGTAACATTCAGCTCATCCTCAACACATAACAATCAGACGGAGAACACTACCTACAGTAAACCTCAAAGAGGTTTTGGCCATGGTAGGCAATGAGGCATAGCTGCGAGCAAGATCTTCGATCTGAGAAAACATGAAGATGAAATTACATGCATCACACTTGCAATAAAAACAAACTCAAGTGATACTTATCTTTGAAAAATCGGGATGAAAGAACATGAACCTATTTGAAAACATAACAAGCATTATCAGAGGAATAATGCATGGTTATTACGGAGCGAGCGAAGCGAGCGGAGTCTTACGTAGAATAACGGAAATTTCTGAGTATGAGCGGCCGGCCGGCCGGCCGGCCGGCCGTGCGGACGCTTTTGCGAGGCTTATATCTCAGCAACCACTTGACCGATTTACATGCGGTAATTTTTGTAGGGTAGCTTCATTCCTTCTACCAAGTATTGTACTATTCCCGATGCATGTGGGTGACCCCTTATGCACGTGCCACGTGCAAAACGAAGAGGTGTCACTTTTCTAACTGTTGCAATATCTCGGTAACTACTTGGCCGATTGCGCTGAAAGTTGGCATGTAGGTAGGCACCCACTAGGCACTGCATATCCATGTGCCAGAGTTGGGGTGCTGCTGCACGTGCGCACGTGCAGGGGTCGATTCCAGATCTCGAGAACGGCTGGACCGATTGCGCTCAAATTTGGTACGCGGTTAGGGACCGGTTAGTAGGGTGCCGTGCAAAAGTCAGTTGGGACCCATGTTGCACGTGCGCACGTGCAGGACGCCGCTTCCAGATCTCGATAACGGCTGAGCCGATTGTGCTCAAATTTGGCACATCGCTAGAGACCGGTTAGTAGAGTGCAGTGCACAAGTCAGTTGGAGGTACCCCCTCGAAATTTCGCACGTGCAAGGCCCACCCTCTCGCTCGCTCCGTTAGTCGCCCCAAAAGGCGTTATACTGGTACTTGTTTAAAAGACCTGTTAATATTAAGGTAGTGGACAGGATCTTAGAATGGTCAAGAGATGTTACCTTCAGAAGGGTTTCCTTTTGTGGTCACACATTATTGATGTTAACAAATGAACACCGGGTGGTGCACACCCTGAAAGTCACATTGTCTTTGTTGAAAACTAGGCTTCCTTCCTGTTCAGATTAAGACAGTTGATGGCACCTTTGGTTAGCTTTGTTCAAGGAAGCATTCATTTTGCCAGTGTCGGTAGGGCAACCTTGCTACATATAGGAATCTTGAGCCAGGCACAGCATATGTAGTAGTGCATGTCTTGTCCTGAAAAAGGATCAGAGATATATGGCTAAGGAAGTCATGAATGGAATTGACTCAGGCTGCTCTGAGGATGATTGACCACAAAGACATGGCTATTGTGAAAGCCCTGAAATAACTTATGAACTGGTGTGTTTTGAGTGAAGTGGAATATCAAGAACAGCATTAAAAAAGAAAAAGTAAAAATTGACCTAAAAATTATCTTCCATGTTTAGTTTCAATCACCCAAATCTTACGCGTTTTCATACAAACTTAAAATACCAAGAAATTGCACAATTATCACTAACATGTGGCAACAAATGCTTCTTTCTACTTACTATCCACTTTCATGGATGCAGGATGCATGTGTTTTGATTTCATTATCACAGCTACACAGTTGTACAAGATGCTTACACAAAGTATTATGTTATATGTTGATGTTATTCAGCTGGAGCCTGGGACAGTGGTATTGTAATTTGTATTGTTAAGTTTGTTCAAAACCAATGTCCCAAAATTTGCCAGTTTTGGGTGGGAAGTGACATCCAACTGAAATCAATTTTCCACTTTCATCTCCAATTTTCAAGAACAATTTTTCACTCTGAAATAAAATTTTGGGACACTGTTCATAACACCAGCTTCATTTCTTAGTAATGATAGCTTTCAGAAGACTTCAGTCATCCTTCATCAGCCTGTCAGGGCTCTAAAAATACATACAAACGAGTAGCGACCAACTTAGAAAAGACAATAAACAAATGTCGTACGAAAGCTGCCATTGCAAATAGATAAAGCCGGTGTACGCAATCTTTGCAATACGATTATACCAAATATGCTCACAGATAAGTCGAATGGTGTCGCCATGCATCACAATTGATAAAATTCCTTGAAACTTTTTTTTAACACATTGCTACGCAACAGTGAAAGAATGAGAAAGCATGAGGCTGGCCCACCACCCAGTCAAGGACAGCAGTTTGCAAATTTGTACAGTTACTCAGAAAGGCCTTTGTTCACACAATTCCATGCATAATGAAGAGCCAATTTTTTAATGCACACGATAGTTATTGAATACTTAGCCAGCACAATTTGTAAGTCTTTAAATGTAGGGAGAACACCATGGAACCGCGTGAAACCACAGGCCGCCTTGTGTATAAATATGAAGCGCAATGTATTGAAACACGAGCGCCAGCTGCGCCGCGCTTAAGCGCAGCCATATCCTAGGATAATTTTCGGTATATAGTAAAAAGCTCCCAGTTCTAGTTGTTTTTCTAGATGATATAGTATAATTCTAGTATATACTAGGAAAAACTTTGGAGTACCCGACTCTTTAGTGCCCTGCATGTGATATGATCACATGCCAAGCAGCTTGGCAATCACCACAGAAAAAAATGTCCATGCGGTCCATGTCCATGCATCTGATATTTTGTCCTATCAGCGCCGTTTTCGAAACCAAATGTAAATCGAAGCAAATTTACTGCTACAATAATAAAGCACTGCAACTTCAAATGACGTAATTCCGCCAAGATTCCGCTACAATCGGCAAAGCAAAGCCAAGAGAAGAAAATGATGTAGCGTTGTGGTCCGCAACGCTACATCATTTTCTTGCGGATAAGCCATACCTTAACTAAAATAAGCTCAATTATGAAGAAAAATTGTGTATGGTGTAATAATCAATTCATTAATCTTTACCAGGTAGGTATGTACCTAAAATAAATTTATTTGTCATGACCGTCATGACAAGGCACAATGAGTGATTGACTGTAGGTAGGTAGGCATCCATAAACTTTCGCTACCTAGATCACTTGGCAGAGCAAAAACTCATTGACTAAAATGTCTGTTGATCAGTAGCGGCGGAACACCTTCTTAAAGGAAATAAAGGGGGGGGGGGCGCTGCCGACTTTTGGTCCCATTCTTTCCATGCAACGCCCATAGAGCTAATGTTAAGATGCCAAAATCAAAGGGGGGCACGGTGGTGCGCTCCCCGTGCCGCCGCCTATGCTGTTGATATGGTATTTGGGGCTGGGACGTTTAGGTAGGTATATCACAATTGCATGCTTACACATTTATGCATGTCTGTGCTACGCCTTTTGCACCTAGACTTAAATTGAACTTGGGAGTTTGCTCAATTTACTTTTACCACCACCTGGCTGTTCGGTTCCACCCAGCAATAGGTAGACAGCACGGGGCTGCCTACTCGAGGCACGCCTATCGCCCCAATGGGCACTGCTCGTCACCGCTGAGGGGTCCATCGATCACCTGCGTAAGCACCAACTCAACTGGTCCTCAGTGGGCTCTGGGGACGACGCCCCGCGGGACGGGTGGGGATCGAACCCAGCACCTCCTACATCGCGGGAAGACACCCTAACCGACTGCGCCATCAGGGCCACAAATTCACATAAGCACTTGGTCTGCCGTCTAATCCCGAGTTCCCGGCCTTTGGCCGCATTGTCTCTTCTCCCTGATCTCGTCCCCCATAACGCGAGCCGTCCGGTCCCTCGAGAAGCGAACAACCGTCTCATTTTCTCGTTGGTGCACATTCACTGAGGGACCGTCACAATTTCATTCCTTCACAGCGGCATCTCCTTCCTCCTTCGGTTCCCCTCGGACCTCGGACCTCGGCCCTTCCGGTGACCGTCCCCTCGTCCCTTCACCCAGGTCCTGTCCCCCAATACCCGCCTGCTCGCCGGCAGGCACGCACCCCGGCCACCGCAGCGCTGCGCCAGTATCAACAGCAGTGGGCGATCCTGTCCAACCCAAACGCATTAGGGGCGTGACAACAGCCAGGGTCACGGCGAATTTATCTGCTTCCTCCGCCCGTAATTATGCCGTTGTTGGGTGTTGGACCTTGGCGATATATCTCGCTACCTACGCGCCATTGTGTGCGTGTGAAAATAAAAACATAGATGTTCAACTTTCTAGCTACCATAGTTTGGCCGGAAATGACATCAGAGTGACGTCATGTCGGCCGATTTTGAGCTTAGTTTTAAAACTAGATCCAATTTCTTTGCATCAGTGGACTAAAAATACACGTAGCTATCAAACTGCTATCTCGAATTTTTGAAACATTGAATATTTTGAAAAATATGTTTTACAATTACAAAAAAAAAAACTTTTTTATTGTTTCGAAAAGTTTTTGATTTTTCGCAAAAACCAGAATATACGATTATGTGATAGAATACACACTGATAAACAACTCTAGCAAGTTTTAGCTCAATATCTTAAAAAATAGCAAAGTTATTTGCATTACCTATTGTCAAAATGTTACAATTATACATTTTTCAAAACCATTTTTCACTACGTTTTGGACATCGTGCAGCAATATAAATGGCACCATTGTGTTCCTGAGCTCAAACTGCATCTGATAGGCTGTAGGCACCTTTTTTGTTCAAAAATTTCATTTTCAAAATTTGACCTTTTCTGACCTGAAATTGACCTGACCTCCGGTAAATTCAGCTGCAAATGACCTCAAATGACACAGACGACATCATTTTCGAAATCTACGTGTACAATTGACCATAAAACATGCGTCACGTGACCGATACATGATAGGTATACAATTTTCGTGACCTAGGATGACCTGGCCTTGACCTGAAAAATTCGAAGTAAAAGTTCCGTACCCTCAGGGTATCTAAGGCATATATCAAGGAGTGCGTAAACCAAAAATGAGCCTGATCGGACTTGTCAGTCGGCGGCCAGAGCCTAAATTGTAAACAAGCAAAAATGCCGATAATTTTTACTTTGACCTGACCTGTGACGTCATCGGTGACCTCGAGGTCAATGAAAATAGGTTTCGCTCGACAGTTTTCCAGGGCTATCAGACGCCATTTGAGTTTTGACGATTGGCCCAGTAGTTTCGGAGATACACGTAGCGAGAGGAGGGGGGCTCTGGAGAGCCCCCCCCCCCTCAGTCACTCGCGTTATGGAAAATACCCCAGTCATGCGCGGGTTAAACAAAATAAATACGATGTGATAATAAACTAATCAGGAACCCGAAAGACACAGAGGCCTAGAGGGCTACTTCAAAAAGCCTCTTAGCATGTCCCGATTTTCCCGACATTTGGGTCATTGACCTGACGTGACCTGGATCTGACCTGCAAGCTCAGGTAAATGGCCTAGGATTGTGTCTGTGAAAACGCCAATACGGACGAGGGCTAAAAAAATATGCTGTGTGTTTTGGTATCTAGATAGCGTGTTGATATTAGTTGTAATGTAAAATAATTAATGTTCATTCAACTAATACAGATAATTTTGTATGTATTACAAACACTGAAGATATTAGTTTGTGTGGGTTCGGCGCCTTTGGATGTGCGTTCGACGCGAGGTCGGCTGCGGCGCCTGCTGAAGCGCCGCTGTCGGCTGGCAGAGGCGGCGGGCGAGGCAAGGTCAGGCTGCCCACACACCGGCGCGGCGCGGAGGTCGGCCGATGGCGGGTCCGGCGCCGACCAGTCCGCCGCCGCCACCGACGACGGGCGACTCGGGTGTCGGAGCCGCCGACGGGGTGCGACACCGACGGGCCGCGCCGGCCGTCCGCTCGAGCCGCTCTCGCCGCGATCACGTGCTACCAGTGATCACACGTCCTTCTGGGCTCTGTTTCTCGTTTCCTCGAGTGGTGCGAACTCTTGAAAATAGTGTTTTGCAAGCATTAGGTACTGAGCGCACGGGTCTATAGAGACGAGGAGCAGGTGACAGAACGGTGATAAACGGTGACAATCAGTGGCTGCTAATCGTTACGACTGCCTCCGTCGGGACGTGTCTGCTCGGAATCCCGGAGATCACGACACCAGGGCTCTCACCGGTGCAGTGCTCAGGAACTAACCATGCTGGACACGATGCTGCCGCCGGCCCAGCTGCCGCGCAGCCCGCGGCCGGAGCGGCGGATCCGCTCGACGTCTCCTTCGGGCCGGTTCGCGCTGAACGGCCACCGGACGCGCAGTCCGAGCCCGCGGGGCCGGCGCCCGGTGCGCAGCCCCAGCCCCGGCTCCGGGCCCAGTCCCAGTCCCGGCTCCGGGCCCAGCCCCAGCCCCGGAGGGAGTCCCACCACTGGCGGACGCTCGAGAGACGACAGCAAGTGGGAGGCGCAGCTCAGTGAGTATAGGATTAGAATGTGTTCGGAAACGTAGATGTCACCTTTCTTGGCTATTTTTCGATCCATCATCATTGAAAACAAAGGGTTCATAAGGTTCGCATACTCGACGGATCACTATCCGATCCCACGGCCTAGTTTTTTTTTCGTTCACAACTTATGTAGGCATATTTCAACTTATGTAGGCATGTTTCGAAATGCTACATA